GGGGGGGGGGGGGGGGGGGGGGGGGGGGGGGGGGGGAGCATCAGAACCACTACAGCCTGCTCTGAAAGGGGGAAGATTTTTATTTGTACAAGGCAAATGAGATGGGGGAGGGGGCTACAGCCTCCCACTTATAAGGGGAAAGAAGCTGGCAGTTTGGCATGGTTAGCTTGCTCTGGGCAAGACTCAGCAGCCAGATGGCCTTTGACCACAGGCGGGGCAACTGGCTAGATTTCCAGGATCAAGTCCTTTGCATGATGGGCTCCTCTCTTGAGGCTTCAGATAACTGAGGGAGGCAACAGCATGGGAAATGTGGACAGACGTCCATGTGCAGGACTGAGAGTGGGGCCAGGCTGCAGCAGCCATGTGCTTTTGGGGCTGAAGAATGTCTTGCAACCGACTCCCTCATTGCAGATAAGAGCTGCAGAAAAGAGCCAGAGCGTGGAGTTTAATTGCAGCAGTTGCAAGGCTGGATGGTGGAAGCTCTGGAATTCAAGGTCTCTCAGAAGTGCATCAACCCCTGTCCTTTGATGGATATGACACGGCCACCAAGCTTTGCCCAGGCCACCTGCCCTTTCAACAAAGGGAATTGGGCTGGCAGGGACAGCACAGCCTCCCAGAGCTGCCTTGCCAATCACCACAGCAAGAGGTTTAATTGGGGGGGGGGAAGGCAGACACGCCAGCCTTTCACGGTTGAAAGGTTCTGCCTGGGTCCTGTGGTGCATTAAGCCAAGTGGCAGCTGAGGGGAAGCAGGGGCAGGCGGGCTCTTGCCTGAAGCTGGAGCAGACGGTCACCCGACTGCTCCTGACCCCTCCCTGCACAGTGCCTGCCTCAGGGCAAGAGGCCACCTGGAGGGGCTTTGCCAGGCAGACCCACCTGGCTGCTCCTTGGCTGGAGTGGCACACTTCAAGTCCCCCTCGCCCACCTCTCCCAGCCCCTTCCTTCTTCCTTGGCTGGGTTCTTAGCTGCCCTCCCCGCTTGGCTTCTAGAGGGCCCTCAGGAGGGTTCCCTTACTTGCTGCTTCCACCCCTGCCCATGCTCGTTTCCCACAATGCCCCCAGTCCCGCTCGCTAGCCTGCCAGAGCTGGAGATGATGGGAGATGCACCTGGCCGATGCTGCTCTGGAGGCGAATGAGGAAGGGAAGGTAGAAGCGGGGACGCCTGGCGGCGGCCCAAGAGGAAAAAGGGCTCCAACTCTCCGAACGACCAGGAGGCCTGGAGGGAGGCAACGGAGGCGCCCTCGCTCTTCCCGATCTTGGGCCAGAAGGCGGCGGCAAGATCGCCCTCTCCACGCAGTCGATCCGAACACAAAGCAGCGGGTGCAGCCTAGAGTGGCCGAGGACAACGGGGGGCGCTGCCCGCTTTCCCCTCCGGATTCAGGGCTCTCTGTGGGTGGCGCAAAATTCTTGGGAAAGGCTGCGGCGGGGGGGGCTGGTTCAACAGCTGGACAGGGGAGGGGCGAGAGTTGCCCAGCCCCAACAGGACACCTTTACTACCGCACCTGCCGGTTTAGCAAACCAACTTTACCTAACTAAGCCCGTTGCCTGGATTCTCATTATGGCCTCCTGAACCGTGAACTCAGCACGCGGACATGCAGGTCGACCCGGCCTAAAATGTACTCAGGTCTTCATCCCGAAAGACAAACTTGCTTCCTGGTTTTGGTCTCCCCGGTCTGCGGACTCCGCCCACGAGTTTAGCATAGGATTTAGTGTTTCGTGGGAACGCGAGCAACTAGTTGAAGGCCGCTCTGGGATTCCCGCGGCCCGGTCCCCTGACTCCATCTCTTGTTCTCCCCCCTCCCGCCAGGCGCCTGTTTGGATTCGGGCTGCTGCTCGAGGTGGACTCGCAGCCAACCGCAGGGTCCCTGCAGCCGCCGCCGCCGCCGCCGCCGCTCTTGAAAGCGAAGCGAGAGCGATTCGAATCTGCCTGTTTTCTTTAGCCGGCCAAGGGGGGGGGCGTCTTTGGGCCTTTCCCTAAGGAGGAAAAAAGGGTCGTTTCCTAAGCTCCCCCCCCCCCCCGCCGGCTGTCGAGGCTGTTGCGGCGTCGCAGGGGCCGGGCGGAGGAAGTTTCTCGGGGTCTATTCATCCGGATTAAAAGGCGTTTGACTGCTTCGGATGGGAGCGGGGCGGGGAAAGGGGTTGTTTTCTCAGCGGCGGGCGGGACCAGGGAGCACTGCGGCGTCGGCTGGCGGGAGGAAGCAAGAGCTTGCGGCGACCGCGAAGCGCCGAGGAAGCAACACGTGCCGCGGCGGTGGCGGATCCGGCGCAGCTGCCGCGGCGGGAGCGCTCGCTCCGCTTGGAGGCTCCGGGGAGCTGCGCCTGGTGACGAGGGCGAAACGGGCGCGCGTGCTCCCCGCGGCGCTGCGGAGACGCAGAAGGGGACGCTGCCTCGGCTCGGGCTAACGGTTTTCCTTCCGCCGTTGCTACGCGGTAAGTCGCCCGCTACGAA